CTTTGTGTGCTTCACATCATGATGTCGAACTCCTACAACTATTGTAAGATCTAATGAGTACATATGAAGCGATTAGAAATGTGCACGACACACAGTTAGTGCTCGGTCCACCCTAGATATTAAGACAGCGAGGGTTTCCTTCTTGATTTCATCACCGTATGCGTGGATCACTTTAATTTTAGCAAAAACATACCATGTTCTAGACAGGCATTCCCCTTCCAGTTGGTGAAGACCTAAAGATGCTGCATATTAAAAAGTGAACCAAATTTCAGTTGAGGGGGGAAAAAAAGGCATTTTTAGAACACAAACAATCCATTTTATATAATTGCTATGCAAGCATGTTTTTTGGGTTTTTTTTTTTTGTTTGTTTGGTTTTTTTGGTTTTTTGTTTTGAAAAACCTTTAAATTCCTGGCCTTCCCATGGATAAAAAAGACTAGCAGCCTCTTTTGGACTAGTTGAAGCTGGGAATGAAAAGAATTAAGATGTGGACGTGTTTTCAACACACTTATCTAGAGAACCATCTGAAGTGCCTCCGAGAACAAAGATGAAAATATGAGATTTAGTTCTGGCGTTTCCCAACCGCTGACCTGAAGAGACTTCTGGATTTAGTCAGTGCAGCGGGAGCAGAATGATGGGGGGGGGGGGGGGCGGGCGGGTGGTGGGCAGTGAGGGAGATTTAAACTTGCAAGGAAGAGACTGGACTTACATCAGTTCTCCAACTTCCTCTACCCAAATAAGTCTTAACCTTGTTTTATTGGAGTCAGACAGTTGATAAAAACTTACTGGACTATGAAACAATGGTTAAATATTTATTGAAAATTTCAATATGATACTTGGAGGTACCTGTCCTAGAGGTGCCTTACAGGCGGTTTACCTCTTTATGCTAGGGGAAGTCACTTTTAAGAGCTTTGGGTCTGACACCTTCCTTGAGTGATATTAAAATAAAAGTGAAATAGAAAATGCCTCTTAGGAAAGGATGGCCTGGTTTCAGCCCTTCCCTGGTATTAATTGAAAGGGCTCATTTTGCCATTGCCCCATAAAGTCTGAGTCTCCCAGCTGCACAAGCTGACCTCGTGCTCTGCAAGCGTCTCCTTTGCCTCAGCCCTGCAGTGTCTCTACCTCTGTGACCGCTTGTCCAGAGTCAGCGAGTCTGTAAAGCTGGCACAGCTAGCCCCCCCCCCCCGAGTCCTTGCTGCTGCTGCTTTCATTTGCTTTTATTTCTGTTGAAATCCTGTACACCCTTCGAAGACCCGCCATCTCAGATGATTTCCTCGGGTTTCTCCAGGTCTGGAGTCCTAGTTGCCTCTCTGTCCTCTCCATCTTTTGTTTGTTCCTCATTCATTGGCAGTTCGTTGATTCTGTCTACTGTTGTAGCTAATTACCTGCGTCCCTCTCATCATGAACAGTTAGCTCTTTGGTGGGGAGGAGAGTAAACTGTCTCCCAGTCGCATTTGTATGGCCGTATACGGTATTGCATATAGGCTGGAACTCAACAAACGTCTATGGGATGAGTGGGAAATAAAGACTCCTACTAAAATACTCTCAGAAAAAAAAATTAAAAATAAAGTACTCTCAGAATTAGCCTATACTTGCCCTCATTTCCCTTGCATGGCATCCCCTTACTTGGTGGCCCTTTGGACTTCTACTTTTGTGTGTCTTTGTTTCTTCTGTGACCGTCTAGCTGCGGACACCTTTTGCTTGCAACAGCCTTAGTCAGTATCCTTCAAGATCCGAGTCGTGCCATCAGCATCATTTGCTCTCCTCAATGTTTTGTGACAGGCTTACTGAATTGAGGCCCAGAAAGAGTTTTTCTACATGGGATGCTTTGGTTTTCCTGTTCCTCTCTTCTCTCTCTTTGACTGGTTGACTCCTCCTCTACCAGATTCAGGATAAGATGTTACTTCTTTCTGGAGACTGTCCCTAGCTCCCCGCACCCTCTCCAGCCCCAGACTGGCGTAAGCCTTTCTCCTTTATGATCTAATACAATAAAGATGAAAAAGACTTGGGTCGAAATGTGGTCCTGCTGCTCATTGAGCAGTGGCATTAGACCGTCGCTTCTCAAACGTTATCATGCATCAGAATCACCTGGAGCGCATACGACATCAAACGGGGGTGTTTTAAGAATTAATTGAGGTAAAGTGTTTGACATAAATTATTGCTCAATCATTGCTGGTTCATATTGTTTTTACAGTGTCGTTGCTTTTATCGCACTGTTTTAAATTACAGGCTAGACCATTTGCCAAGTAATTTAGGAAACTCATGCCGAGCAGTGACTGTGCCAGTTTTAGTATCACCTGGATCACAGGTGCTTAACAAAGTCCATTACTAAGCACACTAACTGAACATATGACGTGATTAAAACACCCTCAAGGGGCATCCCGGGTGGCTCAGTGGTTTAGCGCTGCCTTCAGCCCAGGGTGTAATCCTGGAGATCGAGTCCCACATCAGGCTCCCTGCATGGAGCCTGCTTCTCCCTCTGCCTGTGTCTCTGCCTCTCTCTCTCTCTCTCTCTCTCTCTCTCTGTCTCTCATGAATAAATAAATAAAATCTTAAAAAAAATAAAAAAATAAAACACCCTCAAAAGTATTCAACAAAGTATTTAATAAAGTGAATCTGGGTGCTTCTCTGTAGGTCGGTTCTGCACAGACGATTCAGGATCCCCCAGTTCAGCTTGCTACCTTCCCGGCTTTTCGGGCAACTGCTTTCGTGGAGCAGCTGCTAACCCACGTTTGGTTATGGTGAATCAGCCCTCACAGCTTTTGTTTCCAAGGTTCTACAAGCAAGCAGCCCAGAGGACACCTCTCTGTAAAGAAGTAGAAATAAATAAAAATAAATAAATTAATTAATTAATTAAAAAAATAAGTAGAAATAAATAAGCACGCAGGCCACTCGCTCGGCTCTGTAGTCTGGATTCCGGACTGAAGGAATGCAGTGGCAGCCCCGTATTCCGCTGCCTCCTGGGCCTGAACATATCCTGCATTTAACATGGGATACGGTTACACATTAACATGGGAAAACTGTAATTTGGAGCTCTCTGCAAATTCGTGAAGCCTCCGCTTTGGGGAAGCCTCTCCTGCTTTTCCATTCATTTTCCTCATTTCTATGCCCCCATCCTCCTTTTTGCCCTCAGAACCTCATATTTTACGAATATGTTCATTATGAATAGGTTTCATTAGTTCAGCAAATACTTTTTCCAATCCCTGCCCCGGGACCAGCACTATTCTGAGGGTGGCGATGCCGCACTGAGACAAAGCACCTGCTTCACGGAACCTAAAGCATGGCACTTAGCAAAGTGTACGCTAATCGTTTGCTTCGCTCTGTCTCCCACGTGATTGTGAGCTTCCGGATGGTGAGCGCACTATTTAATTGATCTTTGGATATTCAGTTCCCTATCAGGCGTGTGGTAGGTATCCACACGTCTGGATTAGTGCTTATTCAGAGGGATCTTCCTTATTAGGTTGGTGCTGAGAAATGGCACAAAGTACCAGAGGTCATGTATGGCTGGTCCCTGAAAGGATCTGGTGCTAGATATTGGTTTTTTTTTTTAACCTACAAATGTTGTTTGTCTGAATTCCAATTAGGGACAAATGATACATAACAATCCAAATTTTTTTGTCCTTTTTTTTTTATTGGTGTTCAATTTGCCAACATATAGCATAACACCCAGTGCTCATCCCGCCAAGTGCCCCCCTCAGTGCCCGTCATTCAGTCACCCCAACCCCCTGCCCACCTCCCCTTCCACTACCCCTTGTTCATTTCCCAGAATTAAGAGTCTCTCATGTCCTGTCTCCCTCACTGATATTTTCACTCATTTTCTCTCCTTTCCCTTTTATTCCCTTTCACTATTTTTTACATTCCCCAAATGAATGAGACCATATAATGTTTGTCCTTCTCCGATTGACTTATTTCACTCAGCATCATACCCTCCAGGTCCCTCCACGTCGAAGCACATGGTGGGTATTTGTCGTTTCTGATGGCTGAGGAATATTCCACTGTCTACATAGACCACAGCTTCTCTACCCATCATCTGTCCATGGACACCGAGGCTCCTTCCACAGTTTGGCTACTGTGGACATCGCTGCTATGAACATCGGGGTGCAGGTGTCCCGGCGCTTCACTGCATCTGTATCTTTGGGGTAAATCCCTAGCAGTGCAATTACTGGGTCGTAGGGCAGGTCTATTTTTAACTCTTTGAGGAACCTCCACACAGTTTTCCAGAGTGGCTGCCCCAGTTCACATTCCCACCAACAGTGCAAGAGGGTTCCCTTTTCTCCACATCCTCTCCAACAAGTGTTGTTTCCTGTCTTGTTAATTTTCCCCATTCTCACTGGGGTGATGTGGGATCTCATTGTGGTTTTGACAATCCATATTTCTAGCTTCTCTAGAAAAAGCCCGCGTTCTTGTGTTGCACCGACCAGCTGCAGCCAGTTCCCAGCCAGCTTGCTCCTCAGGTGGAGCGTGTCCGCTCCAGCTCACTGCGACAATTCCCTACTGTGTTACGTGTGTCTGTGTGCACACGGCATTGTATTTGCGTGCACAGATGTGTGGTGAGGAAAGAGCCAAATTCTTCAAATTCTATGCAGATCCACTGACCGTTTGTCTTCACAGGCTGATGAAAACCTGTCTTCAACTGGAAATACCTTATTCCTTTTTTTGTTCTTTGGTGATGTAGAATGCTAACAAGGATTTGCTTTTGTTTGAAATAAGAACTATATTGGGTCATCAGTCTTCAATTTTACCCAGAAGTTTTCTGTGGTTTCACAGTGGGTTTCCTATCTTCTTCAGATTATTTAGATAATTGCCAGTTCCTCAGCCCAAAGTAACAATACATTAAAATGTATCCGGTTTGGATTTTTTTTTTCCTCCTTTAGGATCATTGAACCTAACATGATTTATTTGGTTTGGTTTTGTCATAGGACATTAGAGACGCTTTTAAAAACATAAAATTGCGTTCAAATGATAGTGTGCCGGACTAAATATGTTCGTGCTCTGTTTTCAGCTATCCTTAAAAAGAAGAGGAAGCAAAGATTTGCCAAAATCTGAAAAAAAGACTCAACAGACTCCCACAGAGGTATGTGGAAATAAAATTTCATCTAGTACATCAATTGAGCACCTTTTCTAATTGTATATAATTACAAGCTACATCTGTAAATGGACGTCGTAGCCAGATACACTCATGTAAAAAAAATAAAAGTTTGATTATGCACATCCTGTAGCCGTGGATGCAGGCAGTATGAAGCATTCAGGATCTTTGCTTATAAAGCTAACACCAAGCTCCCAATTCTTGCTTCCACACTGTAAGCACACCCGGAGTATCATCAGTACCTTGTGTGCTGCTGTGTTTGAGAACTGCACGCATGGTGCTCATCCTCTTCACTCCTAATGAATGCGGCCAATAGAAGGGCTGTTCCTATAGCATCATGAGTGAGTAGAGAAAGGAATGTCGTAGGAAGGGATGGCGAGGCAAGAGAGAGGCTTGTGATGAGAAGGCCCTAGAATGAAGGAATTCTCCATGCCAGTGATTGGGGGAGCAAAAGAAAGGAAACAGAGAAATAAAAATAAAACTTTAAAAGATATTTTAAAGGATGCCTGTCAGGCTCAGTCAATGGAGTGTGTGACTCTTGATCTCGGGGTTGCGGGTTTGGACTCCACCTTGAGTGTAGAGATTTTTTAAAAATAAAACCTAAAAAAAAAAAAAAGATGTATTCAACACGGACTTGTTAAGAACTTTAGAAACCCAGCCACCGTGAAGACTAGCTCTGCTTTCAGGATGAGCAGAGGGTGACGATGGGTGTAATGAAGGAGATTTTAAAACAGAAGAGGAGATATTTGGGGGCAGAAGTGACATGATGGCTCCCCAAGGACACTTGGGTAGTCATTGACTTTTGCATGTGTCCGCTGGAGTCTCATAGTATAGCATACCCTCTTCTAGCCTTACAAGTTGTTTTCTCATGAGCTAATAATTCTAACTATGGCAATACTGAAATATCCAAAACTTGGAAAGTTGATCTCAATGTTTTTAAAAACACAACTTATTAAATGCTTTTCGAAGAGATTTATTCATTTTCAAGAGAGAGCATACAAGTGGAGGGAGTGGCAGAGGGAGGGAGCCTCAAGCAGACTCCCCACTGAGCTCAGAGCCCACTATGGGCCTCGATCCCACAAACCGTGAGACCATGACCTGAGCTGAAACCAATAGTCAGATGCTTCATCCAGCTGAGCCCCCAGGTGCCCCAGAGAACACGACATATTAAATGTTTATCTTCCCTTTTCCTCTCTCTTTCTGCTCTGTTCTTGGTTAACTTTCCCCTGGTCCTGGCACAAGGCCCTCGAGACACGCCAGCAGTTCAGAAATCCCAGAGTCTCATCGCGAGGCCATGAGTCCATTTTGTACCTTCCTCGCTGTTCTCTCAGTGAGATCAAAGATGCTCCGTCACTACGGCTTTCTCACTCTGCCTTTGCCAGAACTTTAGCCACCGGCTGTGCATATTTTGCTGTGGCTCATTTCACGAGTTGCCATCAGTTCTCTCCTGCACCTCATCGAGGGACAAGGGGCTATAGGCTCAATGCCCAAGTCAGCTTTAATCAGCAGTTTCTTTCTTTTAAAACTCACGTTTGGCCTATTCTTACACTTGCCGTGTTCAAGTTTATTTTTTTCAACAATAGTCTCTTATCCAGGAATCTTTAACTGTTTATTTCTAGCTCCATGACCCTCTGACTCCATGGGCATGCGGGCACCTTTCTGCAAAAGACACCCACAGCCTCCGTCAATGTCTTAGTGGGACCTAGGACCTCACAAGAGACCTTGCAGCCCACCAGTTTTTATTTCATGGCCCAAACACCTGGGAAACTTATAAACGTGCTGTTGTTGCCTACGAAGTTCCTGCTAGTGTTTCCAGTTCATTTGTCCAGAGATTATCACCTGTAGTTTTCCGAAAACCCACCCCAGCAGATTGACCGGGACCATCTGGGATGGGAGAGCTCCATGATAAAGTAGTCCACAGGTGATTCTGTTGCTTGGTCAAAGTTGAGGGCCATCGATTCTTAGATTACTCTTTCCGTATTCTCCTCCCACGCTCAGCCAGGCCAGATTGTAGTCACAGCTCACGTTATTCAGCTTTGACTTGTCAGGGTCTAGCGTGTGATACTGCACCATGTCCAATATGCACTTTTGGATCCTCCCATGTCCCCTTTATCTAGGTTGAGCCAAATGAAATTGCCTACACCCTGTGAGTTTGACCTGTGTAAACAGCAATCCCATACGGTTCACCCTACTATTATCTGTATGGATCCATACTTCATTTTTATTTGCTTCAGCTTCGTCAATAATAGTGTTTCCGTGTTCCTGCAGCACCGTGACTTTATTTACCGAGCAGCGGTATCACACAGCAATGAAGAACAGTCACAGGCCCGCCATGTGGCCTTAGATGACTCACTTATTCGGTCTCTGCCTTTGTTTCCTCATCTGTAAAACGGGATCATAGGAGAGAGCTGTTGTATGAATTAAATGTGTTTAAAGCACATGATTCAGGGATCCCTGGGTGGCGCAGCGGTTTAGCGCCTGCCTTTGGCCCAGGGCACGATCCTGGAGACCCAGGATCGAATCCCACATCGGGCTCCTGGTGCATGGAGCCTGCTTCTCCCTCTGCCTATGTTTCTGCCTCTCTCTCTGTGTGTGTGTGTGTGACTATCATAAATAAATAAAAAAAATTAAAAAAAAAAAGCACATGATTCATTGAGAGTGCAATTTAGCTTCTGGTAGTGGCTGAGTCCAAGCCAGGCTCAGCTCACTTCTTTTGGCCCCTCATCATTTTATCCTTCTGCACATGCCATTCATATCTTCTTAAAAGTGAGTCTTCAACATCCACGAAAATAAGACATGACTTGCTTCACATCTCAAAGCATGGTAGTGTTTCTTGCCTGGCGTTCTCTGTAAAAAGTAGGAGCAAGCACGTACTGCGCAGTTATTGTCAACCAGCCATTTTCCAGGCCACCTTGGACCTAACGTCATCAGCATTTATGTACAGTATTTCCACGCTCACTTGCAAATGCAGCTGTAATACTTTGGTTACGGGGTTACAGGCTGAGCATGCAGGATGCATCAGCATACGGGGTTCTTAAGCTCTTGGCATTCTAGAACCTATCACACTTTGTGTATCGAAGAGATTTCTTTTTAAACAAATACAAAATAATTACTGTGGGGCCCATCATTCTCCCTCCCTCATAGGGACTTCCTTCCAAATAGTGTAGGTCCAGATCTTAAAATGACGTTTATGTTTCCATTCCTTTGAGGCAGGAGAGCGCACATGTACACAAATCAGGGAGCCTTCTCTTTCATACTCGCTTACCACACCTGGTGAAGTGTGATTCTGCTCCAGTCCATGAGTTAGATCACATCCAGTGCTATTTGGGTTAGATCGAAACTGCAGCATTTCACTCCCATTTTTTTTTTTTAATTTGCAAATAAAGATCTCCCCGTGCAGGCAAGGAGTTGTCCCATGCATGTAGCCCAACCTAACTTCCCAGTCTCCTCCACTCTTACTTCCTAGCAAAGCCTGGCCTAGGGAAATATTGGATGTGCTTATTTCTGATCACCTTTGTAGGCAAACATGGTCTCTAATTCCTGCACGATATTTGACTCTCCTGCCCCCCTGCCAAACCTTTCACCATGGCTTATGTGTCTCTCTTCGTTGTCTTCTCGCTTGCTCAAAACCCCTGCCACAGCTTCAGCCATCCCCTCTACACATCTCACTCTCACATCCACGCCTTTGGACCCAAACTCTCTGCAGGCCCTAGATGTAATCTCGGGCCTGAGATTCCACTTGCCTGTTGATGGATGTTTCCACTAGATATCTCCCCACTGACACGCCTCAAAGATAGCATTTTAAGACACTTGGTTCGACCCACCTTCTTCACACCTCCTCCTCTCTGTTCATCCCCTACTCCTGTTATTAGCAGCACCCTCCATCAAGACACGTAAGGTGGAAACATTAGGGTTATCTGTGATTCTTCTGCTGATATGATATTAAACATTGCTATGTGTCCTGGGTTTCATGCCCACTGAATTAGTGTGAGGGCCCAACACAGTCTCTTGTAGAGCGGCGTGTCCCCTTGTGAAGTGGATTTTCATATCAAATCTTTCTGGGACATACATTCTCATCCTTCTCTCTCACTGTGCTCCCGAGAGTCTCTCAACTCTTCTCTCCGTGCCTCTATCCTTTCTCCTAAACCCCTTCTAAAGGAAAGTATACAAGCCAATACATCCATTGTCTTATATTTTATCCCATTGTCCTACTTTCCTTCTCTTGTGCTGCTTTTCCAGAGGCAACATGTACAGTGGAAAGAATAAGAGTTTTGAACCCAGTCTGGATACAGATATGCTCTGTCCCTTACTAACCTGGGCTCTACCAAGTTCATGTCAGGGTGTGATGACATAAAGAATGTTGACGGTCAGGCTCCGTGCGCTCCACGGCTCTCAGCCCTTCCGTCCTAATTCTCATTAGCAGATGGGAGGACAGGAGACCTGGGTGCTGCTCTCCATCTCTTCCATCCCAAAGGCTTTGGGCCATCTCTAATGAGCATCTATAGAAGAAGCATATTATTCTCACCTGCCTCACCAGTGGGTGCTGCTGCTTTACCACAATTCATCTCAAACACAATGGACTCATTGCTGGGCAAGGAAGGCATTTTTATTTCCATTTTAAAAATGATCCAGGGCACCCGAGTGGTTCAGTGGGTTCAGTGTTTGCCTTTGGCTCGGGTCATGATCTCAGGGTGCTGAGATCCAGCCCCACATAGGGCTCCCTGCTCAGTGGGGAGTCTGCTTCTCCCTCTCCCTCTGCCCTTTCCGCCACTGCTTGTGCTCTCTCTCTCTTTCTCAAATAAAGAAAATCTTTAAAAAAAAAAATTTAGAAATCAGGAAAACAAAATTCACAGAAGTTACACAATCGACCCTACATACATACTTAGAATTTGGGGAAATTGTCCTCAGGAAATGTGTCCTTGGGCATAATAAGGTACTTTGGTATTAGCTCTCAGCAGGTTGATTTCCAATTTTTGGAAAACTTCTAATCACTCCTCAGCTTAGTCAGTAATTAGGGTTTGCGGTTGTCCAAAGAATTGTGAGAAGAGCTCCTATAGGATCTACTCCGTCTTCCATTTAGGCAGAAGCAACTTTATTCATTTCAGACTGATGGGAATATATCTTATTTTTAAAATGATCTGGGTGAAAATGCTTGCCAGTTTCTTCTTGGATGGGGCCATTCCAGGGTTAAGTTTTCCTTGCTTTAAGTAAGGCCTTCAAGTAAGCAATCCTGCCCTGAATAAAGATGGAGAAGAGAGGACTTTCTTTGCTCTTGCAGAGCCATCACGGGCCTTAGAGTCAGACAGGAATGCATTCAGATTGTACCTTTGTCTTTTGCCCCTTACTAGTTATGGGACATCTTTATTAATATCTATTATTAAGTCTACTCTAAACAGTAAAGTAGGTCCTATGTATAAAGAAGTTTACAGAATTTGGCCGAGAGTCGGTGCTCCATCAATGGTAGTGAGCGCGCAGCACGTGCGTCCTCCAGGGAATAGGTTTCACATTAAGATCAGAGGCATTCAAATCACGCAAGAAACGAAACCTGCAAAATGCACATTGTTGAAGTGACAGCCCCACAGATGTGCTCAGTTACAACCTATGATAATCTCTGGATGGTGACGACCATAGTGTTTCTCTCAGGATGTTTCTTTCTCCTTGTGTTGCTGGGATGTGACCTTGTCCTAATGTTTTATCTGCCAAATAATTTAAGCACTTTGTAGAAAATAAACAGCACCTGAGGATCCCTGGATGGCTCAGTGGTTTAGTGCCTATCTTCAGCCCGGGGTGTGATCCTGGAGTCCTGGGATCGAGTCCCATGTCGGGCTCCCTGCATGGAGCCTGCTTCTCCCTCTGCCTGGGTCTCTGCTTCTCTATCTCTCATGAATAAAAATCTGTAGAACGAAAGAAAGAAAACAAACAGCACCTACTTCTGTGTGTCTCATTAAAGCTTAATCACAAGAAAAAGTGGGCAGCCCTGGTGGCTCAGCGGTTTAGCACCTGCCTGCAGCCCAGGGCCTGATCCTGGAGTCCCTGGATCTCGAGTCCCACATCGGGCTCCCTGCATGGAGCCTGCTTCTCCCTCTGCCTGTGTCTCTGCCTCTCTCTCTCTCTCTCTCTGTGTGTCTCTCATGAGTAGATAAAATGTTTTTTTAAAAAGAAAAAAAAAAAAAAACAAGAAAAAGTCATCACTTTTGCAGGTGTACCTTTTGTTTTCTGGATCTCCATAGAAATGATCTCCTGTTGTCTCCCCCCTCCCCCCCGCCCCGTTTCCCACATGAGGAGGACAACGAAGACCTCAAGTGCCAGCTGCAGTTCGTGAAGGAAGAGGCCGCTCTGATGAGAAAGAAAATGGCCAAGATCGACAAGGAGAAGGACAGGTTCGAACACGAGCTCCAGAAGTACAGGTCGTTCTACGGGGACCTGGACAGCCCCCTGCCCAAGGGCGAGGCGGGGGGCCCTCCGAGCACCAGGGAGGCCGAGCTCAAGCTGCGCCTGCGGCTGGTGGAGGAGGAGGCCAACATCCTGGGCCGCAAGATCGTGGAGCTGGAGGTGGAGAACCGAGGCCTCAAGGCCGAGCTGGACGACCTGCGCGGCGACGACTTCGGCGGCTCCGCCAACCCGCTGATGCGCGAGCAGAGCGAGTCCCTGTCGGAGCTGCGGCAGCACCTGCAGCTGGTGGAGGACGAGACGGAGCTGCTGCGGCGCAACGTGGCCGACCTGGAGGAGCAGAACCAGCGCATCACGGCCGAGCTCGCCAAGTACAAGTACAAGTCAGGCGGCCACGACAGCGCGCGCCACCACGACAGCGCCAAGAGCGAGGCGCTGCAGGAGGAGCTCAAGGCCGCGCGGCTGCAGATCAACGAGCTCAGCGGCAAGGTCATGCAGCTGCAGTACGAGAACCGCGTGCTCATGTCCAACATGCAGCGCTACGACCTGGCCTCGCACCTGGGCATCCGCGGCAGCCCGCGCGACAGCGACGCCGAGAGCGACGCGGGCAAGAAGGAGAGCGACGACGACTCGCGGCCGCCGCACCGCAAGCGCGAGGGGCCCATCGGCGGCGAGAGCGACTCGGAGGAGGTGCGCAACATGCGCTGCCTGACGCCCACGCGCTCCCTCTACGCCGCGCCCCGCCTGGCCCAAGGGCTTCTCCGACCGCCAGCACCTCAAGGACATCCGCTCCGAGGCCGAGCGCCTGGGCAAGACCATCGACCGGCTCATCGCCGACACGAGCACCATCATCACCGAGGCGCGCATCTACGTGGCCAACGGGGACCTGTTCGGGCTGATGGACGAGGAGGACGACGGCAGCCGCATCCGCGAACACGAGCTGCTCTACCGCATCAACGCGCAGATGAAAGCCTTCCGCAAGGAGCTGCAGACCTTCATCGACCGCCTCGAGGTGCCCAAGGCGGCGGACGAGCGCGGCGCCGAGGAGCCCATATCCGTGAGTCAGGTACAGCTCGGCCTGCTGCGCGCCCGGCGGCGGGGCGGGGCGGGGCGGGGCGGGGCGGGGCCGCGGGGCCCGGGGGCGGGGCTTACCGCCAGGGCCACGCCCCCTCCGCCGCGCACCGCCCCTGAGGCCCCGGCCCCGAGGCCACGCCCCTCCCCGGCCCCTCCGCCGCGCGCGCCTGCCTGCGCGTCCCCCCGCTCGGCCCCGAGGCCCCGCCCCCAGCCTGAGGCCCCGCCCCCGACCATGAGGCCCCTCCCCTCCCCGCCCCCTCCGCTGCGCACGTCCCCTCTCCGGCCCCGAGGCCCCGCCCAGCCCCCTCCGCCGCGCGCACCTGCCTGCGCGCCCCCCTCCCGGCCCTAAGGCCCCGACCCCGACCCCGAGGCCCAGCCCCTCCGCCGCGCACGCCTGCCTGCGCGTGCCCCCCGCTCGGCCCCGAGGCCCCGCCCCCCGCCCCGAAGCCCCGCCCCGCCGCACACCTGCCCTCCCCCCCCCCCCCCCCCCCGTGCAATCCCTGGCTCGGCGCGGCCCAGCCGGCTGCTTACACGACACGTCCACACTCACGTCCACACTCGCACCGGAGTAGAGGAGTTTTAAGAACCGTGCATACGTGTCGGCCCGGCGGGCGTTCCCCTGCGCGTGCTCCTAGGCCGCGCACGGGCCTCCCTAGCAGCCCATCTGCAGGTGTTGAGCCAGGCTTGTAGTTGAGCTCAAAATAGCGTGCTTTGGGTTTGGGAAGTTTTTTTTGTTTTGTTTTGTTTTGTTTTGTTTTGTTCTGTTCTGTTCTGTTTTGTTTTGTTTTTAAACGACCAAATCTCCAAGATTATTGTCTAACCACTGACACGGGCCCACACCCAGCGGTAAAGAGGGATGAGACAGGGTGTGGAGCCCTCCCGGAAAGGCACGAAGGGAAGCCAGCCCTTGACCGCTAGGGGAAGTAGCAGGATCATTATCTCTAGATTTTAAAAGTCAATCAATCAGTCAGTCACTGCCAGCCCTCTAGGGGAGAATCTCAGGACGGGGGAAGGAGTTGAAGCGACCCTGACTCCCAGAAATAGCCATGACGAAGGGAAGCCAGCCCTTGACCGCAAGTGGAAGTAGTAACAGGATCATTATTTCTAGATTTAAATCAATCAATCAATCAGTCACTTCCAGGACGGGGGAAGGAGTGTCAGACTTTAACTTGAAGCGACCCTGACTCAGAGAAATAGCCATGATGAAGGGAAGCCAGCAAGTGGAAGTAGTAACAGGATCATTATTTCTAGATTTAAATAAATATATAAATAAATACATGAGTAAATATATAAATAAATAAATATATACATAAATCAGTCACTGCCAGGATGGGGGAAGGACTGTCAGACTTTAAGTTGAAGCGACCCTGACTCAGAGAAATAGCCATGACTATCCCCCCACGGGGAAAACCAGCGTTTTTCCTTCATCCTAATTGGTCGAGGCACAGCTGATGAGTTGGACTGAGCTGCTCTAGCCAGGTATGGGGGCCAAGCAGCCATGCGTTTTGTCAGAATTAACCACCTAAGACAGGCTTTGTCGAACGTTAACAGGCGGCGCTACCTCTCTGGCAAGCCTCCTGTCCCGTGTCCGTTGGAGAACACACGGAAGTACACCAGCATGCATGGCTTTTAAGACACGCGACAGATTTAAATTTAAAAATCAGTCTACACGCAGAAGCATGACATGAATTAACTAACTGCCTGTTAGTCACAACCAGAAAACTCGCAGCCCCGTCGCTTAGTTTAAACCTTGCATGTTGCTCTGCTTCGCTATGGGGGGAGAAAAAGTTTTATGATGAAACTTGCTGAATCTTGAAACGTTAAAGCTTATTTTCGTCTCTAATTATGTCGAGTAGTTGGTTTTTAGCTTCCTTGCAGCAGATTTTTGAATACTTTGAGCATGTGGGTTTCCAGTTATACCATGGGGGCGGGGGGATCAGAGTGAGAGAAAGCACTGTGCGTAATAATAGGTTTCAGATTTTGTAAATATGGGCTTAGGGGAGGGTTCTTCTTCATCTTAAATTGAATGAATGCTTAGATTAGTTGATATAAATGGAAGTGTTAAAAAATTATTATTAATTAACTCTTCTCTTTGTCTTTGCATTTACCTTCCCAGATGTTCCAGCCTATCATTTTACTTATTCTCATTCTTGTATTATTTTCATCACTTTCTTACACAACAATATTTAAACTTGTCTTCCTTTTTACACTGTTTTTTGTGCTGTAAGTCTCTCATCATTTACCATTCATTGTAGTATTTTCAGTTTGTTTATTTTGTTCACCCTTCAAGACAAGAAGTAAAAGAAGTATAATTTCTGTAGTAACCAATGCTATAAAAACACTGAAGACTGCTTATTTCTTTAAAAAGACACATCTTACCACTACCAAATTCAATAAGAAGCCCACGCATTACAATATTTCAGGTAAGGAAGTAACTGTGATTTTTTTATATCAATCATTTTAATTTTTGCTTCTGTTTTTTCCATCTTCATCTGTACTCTTCTTGCTAAATAATTATAACTGTAAAAGTTGACTAAATATTTCAGTTATTTCTCGATAGTTGAAAAGCTGACGTTCACAAGTTGGTCACATTTCAAAATATGCACAGATAGATTTATAAAGTATCTTTGCTAGGCTGCATTGGACTAACAAGACAGTTTTGATATCCGGTTAAATATCAGCAAAAATTATGGGGAACAAATGAAATGTGACCATCACGGAAAGTCAGCAATTTGTTGTGATGCTGATGGCATCTTGTCTAAAAAGATGTGTTTGGAAGCATGAGATGGATTAAGCCGTAGTTCATGGAGAAAATGATTCTATTCCCCCTGCTGCATTTGACCAGCTCTAAGCGAAACGACCATTTCTGCATTTTCCTATTATACTCGAACATTGGTTGCTGATCAGATTGGTTGCCTGGACTTCTGTCCTCTAAAATCAGTTATCACACAGAACTGCTTCCAGAGCAGGGAGTAGAGTAGGGAAAAAATAGTCATTCTCCAGAATTTCATTACATTGGGATTCCAAGCCAGTCACAGAGCTCCAGTGGGAGGTGCTCTCCAAATAGAAACTCACTTTGGTGAACCTGAGCGTCTCCCTTTCTCCTCATCCCTAAAGTGACCCAGATAGGCTCCATGTACCGAAAATGTCCTGTCTGTCCATCTTGTTGACAATTTACCCAATGGAAAGCAGGAGTGCACCACTGCCACCAGGACTCAGAAATACCAGTACTGAATACCAGTACTCAGAAATGCTCGCAGGTTGGCTGGTGGATATGAAAATCTGTGGTAAAGTGAGGTATCTTGCACCTCCGCATCAAGAATGATATGTGGAAAACCTTCGCTCTATCACGAAAGTTGGTTCCGGTAACACTCTCTTGAATCTTCATCCCCCAGGACCTCCATTTCCCTTTGAGTATTAATTTCTAAAAAAAGAAAATAAGTGCCTCACAAGTAGTTGAGAATTCAGTTTAAAATAACTGCTCTTAGTCTCCATGTTGTTACTTGCATTTTTCTTTTGGGTTTTTCTGTAGTTTTGTTCCAGAGGGAGGAGAGAGCAGGAGTGGGGAGTTAACCAACAGTTGAAATCTGTCACTGTCCTTCTGGCTCTTCATCTTAGAGAGTCAACAGGCTAGACAGAACTTTATGATAAAAAGAAATGAAACAATGTAAATGTTGTATTTAATTAGTGATTACCCTGTTTATTTAAAAAAAAAAAAAAACGCATGTCAGGGAGAGCAACCACTTTAAAATTCAAAGTCCATCTCTTCCATCCTTGATCGATCCCCAGACTGCCACCGCAGAGGGACCTTTTTGGTAACAACTGAAAGAAAATGCTCCATGGCCGAAATTTATCTGAAGTGTTTTTTGCCTTTGAAGCCACGTACACTCACCTGAGCAATGCTTCTCAGCTCCTTACAGAATATTTGGTGGTTTATGAGGTGTTGTAGGTGGCCACGATGACCGGAAAGCTCTGATGGCAGGAAGAGAACTAAAGAGTGAAAAATCTCAAATCCTTGTCCCACCCAAATTACTAATATCGTCCCTCTGAGGAAGCATGGTGTGCAGTGCCCTTGTTCACTTCAGAAGTATCGTGGATACTCACTACTCTGTGTGGCTTTAAGAAACAGGTTTCAGAATTTTAACTTTTTTTTTTTTATCATGGGAAGAATTAAGAACTAAATATCCAGCTCATGAGTTTTCTTTTTTTTTTTTTTTTAAAGATTTTATTTATTCATGAGAGACACACAGAGAGAGGCAGAGACACAGGCAGAGGGAGAAGCAGGCTCCGTGCAGGGAGCCCGATGCGGGACTCGATCCCAGGACTCAGGGGTCATGCCCTGGGCCGAAGGCAGGTGCCAAACCACTGGGCCACCCAGGGATCCCCCAGCTCATGAGTTTTCAATCCCAGCTGCACATCAGAACTCCTGGGATGGTTCAAGAATTGAGCCCTATCTTAGCAATTGACACTGAATTCTTGAATCCAGGCATTTGTCTTTTCTTGAACTCCCAAGAACCATTTCTTTGGAGTTGTGTAGAATACACATGTGCAGCCTTCCAGGAAGGTTGCAATCTCAGCCACTCAGGGCATGTCTACATCCTCTCTAGAGCACTTCCAATCTTTGGTATTTGGCCTTTGCCTCTAATGCCGAAGCAGTTCTAATTCCACAGGAGTGCAGTGTTAGAAAACTATCCTTTCACTAACGTAGGTTCTGGAAACCAGCAAAAGCAGAGAAGCCAAGGGGGAATGATGCGTGACAGAAAGGAGGACCAAGATGAATAGTGCGTATGTGCGGGGTCGTGGAGATGACTCTCAGAGTGGACATGTAGGCACGTGCATACACTCAGAGCCTCAAGAAGACCCCCCCACACACACACACCCTGACAACCTGACAAATTTGTATACAGTTATCTACACTACAAAGCTTCCCACGTGGTGCGCCACAGATCCTCCAGGAATGATGGAGGAATATCCTCCAGCTGGCTCTGCCATCCCAATTGAGATGAGAGAGCGTGTACGAGAAACGTGAAACTGTGACAGAAATACACACAGGGACCCGTTGTGTGTCTAACAATCACCGTAAAGTGGTGGCAAAATGAAATTCCGTTTTTACTCTCCTAGCACTTTCCATTGGTTGACTGACCCGGACGGACACGTAAATAGGTAACTCTAACAGGCGCTCTTACTGCAGCGTAAGAACAAACAAAAAGGCTTATGGTTGTGATTTCTTCTTATTGGACACCTGACAGCATATTGGATTTCCCTAAGCGCAAACAGTAAAATCCCAAGACATTCTTGGGATGGAATGATACAATGAATGAATGGATGAATGAATGAATGAGTAACATACATACCTAAATAGAGGGCTGCTGCGTATCCCTCGACAACAGCTTATGGCCTGAATAAGGGAGGAGAGGCTGACCACGGGAGGTCTGGGCTCACCAAACACCAGCCTCATCCTTAGATCTCTTGTGAGGGGTTAAAGCTATGCTGGCGGCCGGGACCTTAATCGTATCGAAGAACTTCTAAGGCGTGGGTTTTATGGAACAATTCGTGAGACCCTTGAACGTCCCCCAGGCTCTCCGTACACGGAACCCTGGTGAGAAACTAAGGAGGGGAAACAGGACCGACTTAGCCACGGCTCACAGATTCTGGGGGAATTGGGGTCACTCTGGCAGCTTCTCTGAATCTCCTGAAACAACTCACCGGGTAGTCGGATCCAAAGGGGACTCTCATGCCCTCCCTACCGCATGGCCTGGTGTCTGCTCTGTGCCTCTACCACCCTGTCGGGTGCAGTGAGAGGTGCGCCCCGAATCAGGGAAGTTAGGCCCGCCTCTGTGTGGGGGCCAGTGACGGAGCAAACCTGTCCCTTGCTGCCTTCTCCCTGGGACTTCAGGCTGCTCCGTGGGCACCTGGCTCTGCAGTACATCCCTCCCTTACGTCACAGGCTATGGATGTGGGAGCAGAAGTCAGCAGAGATGGTGCCCAGGACCTCAGAGGGAGGCTCCCCTGTGTCTCCTTCCCCTGCCCTCTGACTCCGCTACTTGCTCTGTGTTGTACCAAGCTAGTTCTAAAAGGGGAACACCCAGGCTGCTTTGTGCACCGAGAGCACAAAGCCCCCCAGTCACTGAGACAGGTGTTTTCCCCTATTTGTACCTTTGACGCTGTGCTATTTAAACACGACACTGGAGATTAATTCAAACAAGCAAGCCTTACTGTAGAAAAGCCCCTCGCGTGCACATTCCTGGCGTAGGAAAGAGTGTCTTTGGTAATTTGGCCTGGATTTAAGGGGGGGAAAATTAGATGGTTATTTTTAAGCATAACTGACTCAAGCTCCTAAAACAAAGGAAAATTGAGTGCTGAGCCTAGAATGTGTATTGGCCTGCGTTCTGCAGCCCTCACTCAGTCTGGGTGGCAGAGGGGGGCACGGTTATTGAATCAACTGCCAGTGAGGTTTGGAATGTCCGTTTGGTAGCTAAGCCCCAGCTCCAGATATTCCCGCTCTTTTTGCAGTTATATTCCTGCAGGACTCCTGTCCCCTTTCGTCGGGTTGGCGGGGAGGGGGTCATGCTTTGGGTCAGATGGTCCAACCGAATGCAAGGATTGAAGAAAAAGTGGGGGTGTGTGATATCAGAAAGTGAGAAAAGGTTTTCCATAGTTTCTGCTGAGGGTGTCTGAGTGGAGTTGCTCATGCATCTATGGTCACCGGCAAGACTCGTAAGTGACCGTCATCGACGGCTGGCAAATAGCACCTGTTCCTTTCTGAGGTGGTCCAACATACGGTGCCATGAAAGTCAGCAAGTCCGCTCTTTAAAGCCATGTCTACAGTACCGGCCTTCGGGGCGCCGGGGTGGCCCAGTTGGTTAAGCGGCTGCCAGGGGTCCTGGGACCAAGCCTGGCCTCGGGCTCTCCGCTCAGTGTGGAGTCTGCTTCTCCCTCTTCCTCTGCCCCTCCCCCCTCCCCCTGCTTTGCTCGCTCTCTCACTCTCTCTCAAATAGATAAAATCTTAAAAAAAAAAAAAAAAAAAAAAACTTGGGCAGCCCTGGTGGCACAGTGGTTTGGTACCACCTACAGCCTGGGGTGTGATCCTGGAGACCCAGGATCGAGTCCCATGTCGGGCTCCCTGCATGGAGCCTGCTTCTCCCTCTGCCTGTGTCTCTGCCTCTCTCTCTCTCTCTCTCAAATGAATAAATAATACATTAAAAAAAAAAACGTTTAAAAAATCTTTAAAGTACC